GAAAAGAATCTCTCTTTGTAGCATCATGACTCACCTAGGATACTAAACTTCTGTAAAAGAGGGTAATTAACAGGCGCTTGATATGCTGTTTGAATCTGTCTTTACTCAAAGAAAAAGATTGAGTGAGTTGAGGCCAAGGCACTCTTCCCTCATTCCTGCTCATAAAGACAACTAGAATTAGTGTGTTATTTGTGTGAAAAACGTAGGGGACAGTTTACTGTTTCATATGAGAATGTGCAAAGTCAGATCTTGCATCAATAGAAGGGAATAAGAAGGTTATTAAAGGTACGGTTATTAAGCGACTAACATATGAGAAGCACCACACCCCATCTGCTTTAGTCCTTAAAACAATCTCTGTGAGGACAACATCATCCTTATCTTATAGGTGAGGATTTTAAAAAGTTATTTTACTGAATTATAGCTGACTTATAATGATGTGTTGATTTCTGCCACACAGCAGAGTGTTTCACTTATACATACATATACATTCTTTTTCATATTCTTTTCCATTATGGTTTTTCAGAGGATATGGAATATAGTTCCTTGTGCGGTACATACAGTAGGATCTTATTTACAGGTGAGGATTTGAGGTAGGAAAAGAACATACTTACAGTCACAAATAGTAAATAGCAGAGCGATAATTTAAACCTGGGTATGCATGCTTAGTTGCTCAGTCGTGTCCGACTCTCTGTGACCCCATGGACTCCTCTTGTCCATGGGATTTCCTAGGCAAAGATACTGGAGTGGGTTGCCATTTCCTCCTCCCAGGGATCTTCCCAACCCAGGGGTCGATCCCATGGCTCTTGCATATCCTGTATTGGCAGGTAGATTCTTCACCAGTGGCACCACCCTATTTCTGCTTAATTCTAGAACTCATCCAAAAGATTTTGAAAAGAAAACCAAACCCTAGATTTTTACATAGGATTTTTAAATGGCTTTCACAGGAAAAATAATGTTATTGATCGTAAGTTTTATTTGCCATCAGAAGCATGCTAAGTAATATGCAAAAAATTCAACCCTTTCTTTTGGACCATGTTTCCTGGCAGAAGGAAGGTTGCTCTGAAATAACTGTTAACACCTTACACAATAGTCTGTTCATAGTTTATGTCAGGTGGCAACGGAGGGCGCTATACACTGTCTAGGTTTTCTCACATTTCCGTCCTGCCCCTGGCTGTTTATAGTCATCACCTACATTACCCACAGTGAAGTCAGATTCATCTTTTGGGTTTAGTGAAGCTTTGGCATTCACTGAGTTTTGGGTTTCTCTGAATTTGTATTAACAAGATCTTTCCAATTCTATTGTACTTAGCTATGAGGTGACAGAAGTGTAGTCTTCAGAGGTTTCTACACAAAGCACAAAGGTTTGAATGAACATTGTTCTCATACATCCAACTTTTTTTCTCTGTTAGTGACAGACTTTACACCACCAATATGAACAGGAAGCAAAAGGACTGTTTATGGAACAATCATCCACATCATAGAAAGATAGGATTTTTAAGTTTTCAAAATCCATATACTTACCCTGCGTGACTCATTTCTCAAACCCTGGTGTTAACCTGCAATATTTCCTAAGTGGTTCTTTACAAGGAGGCCTTTATTGAATGTGTCATCAAATAATCATAAATCATGTTTCAAAACTGTAGAGAAATCTGTGACTTTGTGCACGTGCATGTGAGAATAGTGGACATATTTTAAACACCGTTTCTGGAGAGTATTTGTCTGATCATGAATATAGTAGTAGGGAGTTGGGAAAAAGAAAGATCTAAAAACTTGTCAGAGACTTTGTACTGAAACCTGAGACTGGAAATCAGAAGATGTTACCACTCAGCCGTAAAAAAGAACAAAATAATGCCATTTGTAGCAACCTGGATGGACCTAGAGATTATCATACTGAGTGAAGTAAGTCAGACAGGGAAAGAAAAATATCATATGATATCATGTATATGTGGCATCTAAAAAAATTGTACAAATGGATTTATTTGTGAAAGAGAAACAGATTCACGGATATAGAAAGCAGCTTCCAGTTGCCAAAGGGGAAAACTGTGGTGGGGATAAGTTAGGAGTTTGGGGTTAACACATACACAGTACTATGTATAAAATAAACAACAAGGACTGACTGCATAGCACAGGGACCTTGACTCAGCATTTTTTAATAACCTATATGGAAAAAGATCTAAAAAGAACATATACATATTTGTTTGTTGTTGTTGAGTTGCTAAGTCATGTCTAACTCTTTTGCAACCTACTGGCTACAGCCCTTGAGGCTCCTCTGTCCATGGGATTTCCCAGGTAAGAATACAGGAGTGGGTTGCCATTTCCTTCTCCAGGGGATCTTCCCATCTCAGGGATTGAACCCGAGTCTCATGCATTGTGGGCAGATTCTTTACCACTGAGCCACCTGGGAAGTCCTGTATAACTGAATTGCTTTGCTGTATCCCTGAAATTAACACAGCATTGTAAATCAACTATACTTCAAAAATAAATTAATTTAAAAAATTAAAAACTGAAAGAAAAAGAAGTAGAGAAACTTTCCTGTGAGCACCCTTATCTGTGGCTGCCACCCCTTTGTTCCATGGTGGCTTCTTAGAGTAGTGTTACACTCCTCTGCCAAAGCCAGGACTGGCCAGAGTGAATGGAGTTCCCACGATGGGCATGGAGTACTCAGGATTTACTCCAGGGGTCAGGGAGGGACCTTGTCTGTTCTGGAGCATACAGTCTTGGATGATTGAATAAAACTAAAGTTCCATGAGCAGGGATTCTGTTAGAAATGGCTGTAGATGAGGCAACCGATTGTCTCCTCAAAGATGGGTGCCCTGCTAGAAAAGCAGATGGAGGAGTATATCCTAGTTGTTGCTTTCTGAGCCAAAGTGAAAATGCCGAGCTTGAGTTTACTTAAAGCGTTCTATTAATTTTAGTCCTGTCAGTTTATATGCAGTTAACAACAATAAAGTTCTTTAGACACAGATCACAGCTAGCTTAGTGATGTCCTCTTTTACAACTACCTGAGGCATTTCTTTGCTCTGCTCTGTACTCTCTTTGCGTTGGGTGGAGGTGGCGGGTCAGGAGGAGGTGTGGACAGTATTAGGGGTGAAGGAGGTAGCAGAGGTGTTAGATCATTGCTATTTCTTCCTGATCAGTGTCTTGGGAATGATCCAGGTCACTGTTTATTGTTTGTGCAAAATATGAAGCTAGAGACTGTTGCTACCGCCTCCCATCCATTAAATATATAGAAAATTGAGATTATTGTCTCTAGAACACCAAGTGTCCACCTGTTTATTCCATGGCACCCTATTATCTCTGGACAAGCTGAGTTATTTGAATGTGTGCAAGATTCTTAATAATGTGTGCCCTTCTTGCTGAAGGTAGCACGGCACATGCAATTGTCAACTCAGAACACTCGTTGTTATTGTTGTTCAGCCACTAAGTTGTGTCCAACTCTTTGTAACCCCATGGACTGTAGCATGCCAGGCTTCCCTGCTCTTCACTGAGTTTGCTCAAACTCAAGTCCATTGATCTGGTGATGCTATCTAACCATCTCATCCTCTGCTGCCTCTTCTCCTTTTGCCTTCAGTCTTTCCCAGCAGTGGCCACAGGACTGGAAAAGGTCAGTTTTCATTCCAATCCCAAAGAAGGGCAATGCCAAAGAATATTCAAACTACTGTACAATTGCCCTCATTTTACACGCTATTAAGGTTAGGCTCAAAATCCTCCAAGCTGGGCTTTAGCAGTACGTGAACTGAGAACTTCCAGATGCACAAGCTGGATTGAGAAAAGGCAGAGGAGCCTTTTGCCAACATGCGTTGGATCATAGAGAAAAGCAAGGAAATCCAGAAAAACATCTACTTCTGCTTCATTGACTACACTAAAGTCTTTGTGGATTGCAACAAACTGGAAAATTCTTTGAGAGGGAAGTGGAACTGCTCATGCAAGGTGGAAAAAACTTACTTGCAACCTGCATTAAGGATCCATGCTGTCCTTGTGTTTAGGTGTAATAAAGAGAGATTTCCAGTACTTCTGGGTAACTGAAGTGTTTGTCTTGCCCATCCTCAGAGACTTGCAGATTAGCTCCTCCAGTACCACGACTTCTGAGAGTCAAGATCCTTCTTCTGGAGATCCTGCAGTCAGTGCCCTTCAACAACAGCTGTTACTGATGGTGGCTCGGAGGACCCAGTCAGAAACCCCACGGGTAAGTCCCAGCATCACCGTTTGTGAATGTTCCAGAAGCAGGGATCCTGAAACCTGTTTCCAGGTTGGTTTCCCTAACAGAATTAGTCCAGTCTTGTCCCGAATTTTATGTCAGAGGGTTGTGGTTACATCACTTCATGGTAGTCTACTGGATGAATGTGAAAAGAGACCATTTAGGTAACATGCCATTTAGATAATACCATTTCATAGATGCTAATGGGGTTATTAGTCTTGATTGCTCTTCCAATGTATTAGAAATTGATTTACATTGATCTTTTGTTGCCGAGTTGCACAGATTCCACAAGACCTCACTTGATTGGAATGGCTTTTTCTCGCTTGGTTTGGAGAGTATCTAGATATTTATTAATTTATTATAGCCTTATGATTTAGGCATGCAGAAATTTTGAAAGAGAATCTTGGCTTGAAGAGAGACTTTATTCATGGAACAAATGACATGATCATCAAGCACTTAAAAGATGCCGCTTTTCATTATTTTACCGAGAGATTAACTTCCTGATGTTCATTCATTTATTACTTCACCTTTAATGAGACTCTGTAAGACACAGAGCAAAGAATTCAAAGAGAATGTGGGAGGAAAGATATACAACCAGTCATGAACTTAGAGCTACACATTCTATCAGGGCATTTTGGAGAATGGCTGTGGAGAAGGCTCCTTAGAAGAAAGGACACTTGGGCTAGACCTTGAAGGAAGGTAGATTTCAGTAAGTGCAGATTGAAAGAAGAGGGCTATAAATGGGATTTTGTTACTTTTGTGTAACGTTTCTTTACTGCTCTGCTTACCTTCTTCCTGACCATGTTTTGATTTCTTCTAGAGAGTCTCGCCTACAAAAAGAAATACAGTAAGTCCCATATGTACAAATGTGTTCTGTTCTGAGAGTATGTTTGTTAAGTCCAGTTTCTTCATCAGTGCAACAGTTAGCCTAGGTACCCAACTAACACAATTGGCTCTATGGTACTGTACTGCAATAAGTTTATAATACTTTCCACACAAATAATACATAGAAAACAAATAAATACAAAAATAAGGGTAACATTTTTAACGTTACAGTGTAGTATCTTGAAAAGTACAGTTATTGTTGTTCAATCACTCAGTTGTGTCCTATTCTTTGCAACCCCATGGACTGTAGCACTCCAGGCCTCCCTGTCCTTCTCTGTCTCCCCAAGTTTGCTCAAAATTCATGTTCATTGAGTCGGTGATGCCATCTAACCATCTCATCCTCTGTCATCCCCTTCCTCTCCTGCCGTCAATCTTTCCCAGCATCAGGGTCTTTTCTGATGAGTTGGCTCTTTGCATCAGGTGATCCAAGTATTGGAGCTTCAGCTTCACCATCAGTCCTTCCAATGAATATTCAGGATTGATTTCCTTTAGGATGGACTGGTTTGATCTCCTTGTAGTTCAAGGGACTCTCAAGAGTCTTGAGAATCAGCCAGCACTGCAGTTCAAAAGCATCAATTCTTTGGCACTCAGTCAACCTTATGGTCCAGCTTTCATGACTACTGGAAAATTTCCTGTGCATGACTACAGGAAAAACCGTAGCTTTGACTGTACGGACCTTTGTCAGCAAAGTGATGTCTCTGCTTTTTGATACACTGTCTAGGTTTGAAAAGTACCATAATGCGGCACAGCAGTTGGTGCTTCTTAGCACTACCAGCTACATCTCCACTGCTTTTACACTGGCTTCCAGACATCTGGGGCTTGAAATAGATACTATATTCCTGTACTCCACACAGTTCAGTAAAGTACACAGAAGCACAACCTCCTGCAGAGGATGCACTTACGTGACAATGTACACCAGACACATGAACTAACTTACGTGATTGGACATGTGAACATGCATTTACATCTTTGGAAGTTCACAACTTGAAGGTTAATATGTAAGGGACTTAGTATAATAGTTTGAGTTTCAATTTCATGATTGCTTAACCAGATTTTTTCAGAAGCTTGATGGTAATTTACACACCCTTGTTCAGATGTGCAGAAAAAATGTTGTGCTGTCTTCTAACTGACCGCATGTTGTTCTGGAGTCCTTATTTCTGCTGTGCTGTGTTTAGTCACTCAGTCATGTGTGACTCTCTGTGACCCCACAGACTGTAGCCTGCCAGGCTCCTCTGTCCTTGGGGATTCTCCAGGCCAGAATACTAGAGTGGGTTGCCATGTCCTCCTCCAAGGGATACTCCCAACCCAGGAATCAAACCCAGGTCTCCTGCATTGCAGGCAGGTTCTTTACCATCTGAACCACCAGGGAGGCCCTTATTCCTGGTGACTGGATGCAGATTGGCAGGGGGAGCTGCCTAGGGAGGATGTGAAAAAGCCAGTGAAGCATAATCAGTCTTCTCAAGCTTGAAGGGCTTGCAGTGGGAGCAAGCATTCGATTAACTCCAAGAGTCAGTCTTCAGGACTATCTTCCTTTCTTTGTACTCAGTCTCCCCTCCCAGTCCACCCCTCCAGGGCATCTCAGTGCAGGAGGAAGCTTTCCAGCTCCTCTGGAAGCAAGTGGAGCTGAGAGGGCATCCCTGGTGGCTAAGCAGGGCTCATATGCCTGGCACCTGCCTGGTCCCTGGGTGTGCTGGGTGGTCCCTGCTGAGGAGTGGCTGCTCCTGCCCAGTTAGGGTGCAGTGCTGGGGTCTTTGATCTTGCCATTAGGCCCTAGCTCTGAGGACCCTGTGTCCTGAGGTCTCCTCCTATCAGTGTCTTTGGATTCACTAGTCTTTCTTATATGTCCATGTGCTCCTGGGGGCTCAGACCCCAGCTGTATCCTCCACATTCCATTCCCAGCGCCACTTCAGCGACCAGTACTAGTTCCCACCACAAGCCTTAGTGCAGGAGGTGGGCCGTGGAATGTGGGTTTTCTCTGAGAAATTTGCCTTATCTTGGGATGCGTGCATTCTAAGTCGCTTCAGTCGCATCCAACTCTGCAATGCTATGGGTTGTAGCCTGCCAGGCTTCTGTGACCATGGGATACTGGACCAAGAATACTGGAGTGGGTAGCCGTTTCCTCCTCCAGGGGATCTTCCTGACCCAGGGATCGAACCTGTGACTCATGTCTCCTGCATTGATGGGTGGGTTCTTTACCACCAGGTACCAAAAGGCCACCTGGGAAGTGCTTTTTCTTGCGCTAGTCCTGGGAAAACTTCAGCTCGCTACCATTCTTTCCTGCCTCCAAAACATCAATACTGAACTTACAAGGAGGAGAAGGTTATATAAAATTATTCAGACAGTTTGGGAAGATGCAAATATTATTGATCCCATGTGTGGCAGAATTGTAGGGAAACTGGGAATTTCAGATTGTCAGAGATGCAAAGCACTGACTTAATATCTCAAAAACTTCCCAGGTAGAGCAGAAACTCAGAGTTAAGTAAGTATTGCATGGAGAAGCCAGAAAAGCCATGCTACTCCTTGTTTAAAATTGAAAATTCTGTAAGTGGCACGGTTATATAGATGAGTATATAAAAAAACTGAATTCATATGTAGTGTTTCGTTGCTAACACTTGCCCAAATTCATTGATGAACTTTTAACTTTTTTAACTTTCTTGAATTGAAGTGAAATTTCCTCAGTTGTGTCTGACTCTTTGTGACCCCATGGACTATATAGCCTGTCAGTCTCCTCTGTCCATGGAATTCTCCAGGTCAGAATACTGAAGTGCATAGCTGTTCCCTTCTCTTGGAGATCTTCCCAACCCGGGGATCAAACCCAGGTCTCCTGCATTGCAGGCAGATTCTTTACCATCTGAGCCCCCAGGGAAGCCCAAGAATACTGGAGTGGGTAGCCTATCCCTTTTCCAGTGGATCTTCCCAACCCAGGAATCGAACCGGGGTCTCCTGCTTTGCAGGTGGATTCTTTACCAGCTGAGCTACGTTTTTAAGTAAAATTGTAAAAAAAATTTAAGTTTTACTCTATGTAGGTATGCATATGTGCTAAGTTGCTTTATTTGTGTCCGACTCTTTATGACCCTATGGACTCTAGCCTGCCAGGCTCCTGTGTCCGTGGGATTCTTCAGGCAAGAACACTGAAGACTCAGGTTCAGTCCCTGGGTTGGGAAGATCCCCTGGAGATGGAAAGGGCAATCCACTCCAGTACTCTTTTCTGGGAAATCCCATGGATAGAGGAGCCTGGTGGGCTAAAGTCCATGGAGTCTCAAGAGTCTGACTTGACTTAGTGACTGAACTCACAGTTGTTACTGTGAGGTTTTGAGAAATAAAAGTAATACATGGCATAGTTATACTTTTAAGAATCAGTGGCAGTTATTAATATCAAAATGCTTATTAGTTATGGGACTCTTGATGATACCATTATTTTGTCTCTTTTATTTTTATTTTAAAAAATTTTGTTGAAGTATAGTTGATTTACAATGTTGTGTTAATTTCTGCCATACAGCAAAGTGATTTAGTTAAGTATACAGATATATTCTTATCATATTCTTTTCCATTATGGTTTATCATACGATATTGAATGTAGATCCTTGTGTTATACAGTAGGACCTTGTTGTCCATCCAGTCTATATGTAATAGTTTGCATCTGTGGAGGAGTTATGGTAAGGTTTTGAGGATTAGAGAAAATATGTAACAGAGTTATACTTTTAAGAATCAGTGGCAATTATTTTTTTCCCTTTTTAAAATCAATTTCTTTTTTTAAATTAAGAAAATTTAATTGAGGGATACTTGTTTTACAGAATTTTGTGGATTTCTGTCATGCATTAACAAGAATCAGCCATAGGTACACCCATGTCCCCTCCCTCCCAAACCTCCCTCCCATCTCCCTCCCCATCCCACCCTTCAGCCTGTCACAGAGCCCCTGTTTGAGTTTCCTGAGTCATATAGCAGATTCCCATTGGCTGTCAATTTTACATATGGTGATGTAAATTTCCATGTTACTCTGTCCATACACATCCCCTTCTCCATCCTCCCCTCCCTCCATGTTCTTAGGTCTGTTCTCTATATCTCCTTCTCTATTGCTGCCCTGAAAATAAATTCATAAGTGCCATCTCTCTAGATTCCATATATATGTGTCAGTATACGATATTTATATTTCTCTTTCTGACTTACTTCACTCCGTATGATAGGCTCTAGGTTCATCCACCTCATTAGAACTGATCAAATGCATCCCTTTTTATGGCTGAGTAATATTTCATCATATATATGTACCACAGCTTCTTTATCCATTCATCAGTCCAGGGACATCTAGGTTGCTTCCATGTTCTAGCTGTTGTAAATAGTGCTGCAGTGAACACTGGGGTACATGTGTCTTTTTCAGTTTTGATTTCCTCAGGGCATATGCCTAGGAGTGGGATTGCTGGGTTATATGGTGGTTTTATTCCTAACTTTTAAAGGAATCTCCATACCATCTTCCATAGCAGCTGTCTCAGTTTCTGTTCCCACCAGCAATGCAAGAGTGCTCCCTTTTCTCCACACCCTCTCCAGCATTTATTGTTTGTAGACTTTTTAATGATGGCCATTCTGACCAGTGTGAGGTGGTATCTCATTGTAGTTTTGATTTGCATTTCTCTAATAAGGAGTGATATTGAGCATCTTTTCATGTGTTTGTTAGTCATCTGTATGTCTTCTTTGGAGAAATGTCTCTTCAGGTCCCTTTCCCACTTTTTGACTGGGTTGTTTGCTTTTCTGGTACTGAATTGCATGAGCTGCTTGTGTATTTTGGAAATTAGTCTTTGTCAGTTGTTTCCTTTGCTACTACTTTCTCCCATTCTGAGGGTTGTCTTTTCATCTTGTTTGTAGTTTCATTTGCTGTGCAAAAGCTTTTAAGTTTAATTGGGTCCCACTTGTTTATTTCTGTTTTTATTTCCATTACTCTAGGAGGTGGGTCATAGAAGATCTTGCTTTGATTTATGTCATCGAGTGTTCTGCTTATGTTTTCCTCTAAGACTTTTATAATTTCTGGTCTTACACTTAGATCTTTAATCCATTTTGAGTTTATGTTTGTGTGTGGTATTAGGTAGTGTTCTGATTTCGTTATTTTGCACATAGCAGTCCAGTTTTACTAGCACCACTTATTGAAGAGGCTATCTTCAGGGGCCATTATTAATATCATCAAAATGCTTATTAGTTATGGAACTCTTGAAGAGACTATTATTTTTTTATTTTCATTTAAAATTTTTGGTTGAAGTACAGTTGATTTACAATGTTGTGTTAATTTCAGCTGTACAGCAAAGTGATTCAGTTATATGTATTCTTTTTCATATTCTTTTCCATTGTGGTTTATCACAGGATATTGAATATAGTTCCCTGTGCTATACAGTAGGACCTTGTTGCCCATCCATTCTATATGTGATAGTTTGCATCTGTGGAAGAGCTATTATGAGGTTTTGAAGATTAATGACAATGTACTATCCACTCCAGTGTTCTTGCCTGGAGAATCCCAGGGATGGGGTCGCACAGAGTCGGACATGACTGAAGTGACTTAGCAGTAGCAGCATGGCAAAATTATGCCTTTAATAATCAGTATTAATTATTAATGTCATCAAAATTCTTATTAGTTTTATGGAACTCTTGAATTTTTCAGGTAGCTTGGGGGAAATACAGTTCTATTGTCTAAGACACCCTATTTGTGGTCCTTCATTGTGTTAGCCCTAGCAAACTAACACAGAAGTCAAATCATTTTTTCTTTGTATTAAATTCTGAGATGATTTTCATTTAAGCAGCAATAAATAGCACAATATGCCAGAATATTTAATAAGTTTTGCAAAAGATGTAGACATCGTCTTCATGTGATTTTTTTTGTAGTGACCTTCCCTAAAACTACTATCTAAAAGAGAGTATTTTCCTACTATTCAAAAGAATGTTGTCACCTTCACTGTTGCTTATCCTTGATGTGTTTATACATCATATTGAATTCCCACATCACAGAATGGTAAACCCTACTCAGCTGGTACATGTGTTTTTATTTCTTACTTGCACTTTTAGTTCATGGAGCATAAAGGGAAAGGATTTCTTTTGAGAGGAAGATTTACTCTAAATTACAAATTCACTAGGCTTCCCTGGTGCTTAGACAGTAAAGAATTTGCCAGCAATGTGAGAGACCCGGGTTCGATCCCTGTGTTGGGAAGGTCCCCTGGAGAAAGGAATGGGAGCGCACTCCAGTATTCTTGCCTAGAGAATTCCAGGGACAGAGGAGCTGGCAGGCTACAGTCCATGGGGTTGCGAAGAGTTGGACACGACTGAGCAAGTAACACTTTGACTTTCATAAGTTCATTGTCATTAATGAAGATACTGTTCTTGCTGACATGACAGCAGGAAGTTTCTTTGAGGCTCTCTTTTCTGTTGGGATCAAATTCCAGACACAAGCAGCACTTATAATCTCAACTTACCTCTAATAATACAGCCCAATCCATCCTGTATATTGTCAGCCCGCATATTACCTTCACAATGGATCAACTTTCCCTTGAAATGCTTTTTGTGTTAATATTTTATAGTCTGAACAACTCTATGCTCCATAGCTGAGTCAGGGAATTAGCATCTGGGAACAGAAAGATGGGGAAGCCAGCCTCCTGAGAGGCTTCCACATGGTTTCCACTGAAGCAGATGTGTTGCCCTTATGCATGCCAGGAGTTTTGATATCAGCAACTTTCAGTGAATTAAGGAAAAATTTTGCAGCCTGCCCAAGTATGACCTTCTGCTTTGTAAGCCTGAGAGGAGGAATGAGACCACTGAGAGGTCGCTTTGCTTCCATGGCTGCTCTTCCACGCTGCCCCTTCTCTTCACTTATCTTGGCCCTTCTTCTCCGTCTTCTGTGTTTTATGTTGTTGTTCAGTCACCAAGTCGTGTCCGAATCTTTGTGACCACACGGACTGCAGCATGCCAGGCTTCTCTGTCTCTCACCACCTCCTGGAATTTGCCCAAGCTCATGTCCATTGAATCGGTGACGCCATCCAACCATCTCATCTTCTGTTGCCCTCTTCCCCTTCTGCTTTCAGTGTTTCCCAGTGTCAGGGGCTTTTCCACTGAGTCAGCTGTTTGCATAAGGTGGCCAAAGTGTTGGAGCTTCAGCTTAGCCTACAGGAAATTAGAGCCTACTGAAAATCCTTTTAGGAAAAATATAGGACGAAAGCAAACAAATAAAAATGCAAGCTAGCATGATCCACCAATTCCACTTTTTGGTGTATATTCAAAGAGCCTAATGCAGGGAATCCAACAGATACTTGCATGTGCATGTTCACAGTAGTGTTATTCATGATTGTGAATAGTGAATATTCCACCAAGAGGTGGATGCAACCCAAGTGTCTGTCGACAGATGAATGAATAAACAAAATGTGGTCTATCCATAAAATAAAATTTTATTCAGCCTTAAAGAAAAGTTCTGACACCTGAAACATAATAGACCTTGAGATCATTATGATAAATGAAATAAGCTAGTCACAAAGGAATGATACTCTTTGATTCCACTTATAGGAGGTACCCAGAGGGGTCAAAACAGAAAGTAGAGGAGAATGGGGAGTTAGTGTTCAATGTGGACAGAGTTTTAGTTTTGCAAGATGAAAACATGAATAATAATATGAATATTATTGCTACTGAAACGAATACATACAAAATGGTTAAGGTATAAATTTTACATTATGTATTTTTTTAACCACAGTTACAAAAACAAAACAAAACAACCCCACAGATTAGAAATAGAAGGTCTGCAGGGGGCTGGGGCTCATTAAGCATTTGTTCAGCAAATGAATAGAGACTAATTTTTTCAAAATTGAATTCCTTTCCACTAGATTAGATCCAATCAGAGATGAATTTGGGGTGAAAATGTTTTAAATCTGTGATTAAATTCCTCCACCTGTTTCTGTTTTATTTTATTTTTTTTTTCTGACAAATATTTCAGTTCTTATGTTGGGCTTCACTAAGAACCTACGTACTGTGGATGAAAATCTTTTTACGTAAAAAAAATTTAAATATTTATCTTGGTGTTACATTAAATAACATACCTTTCAAAAATTATGTCATTTAAGGCCTTTTGTTGAATTCTAATCTTTCATAATAATTACTTTCATGGCAGTTTCCTGGCCTAACAGTAGTATTTTGATTTGAGTAGCGTAATTTTAATGTCACATTATAATGAAATTGAAATATATTGGTAAAAAAGACCTTTTCTACAACAAGGATCTACTGTATAGCATAGAGAACTATATTCGGTATTTTGTGATAACCTATAAGGGAAAAGAATACAGGAAAGAATGAATATATGTATATGTATAACTGAATCACTTTGCTATACACCTGAAACTAACATAACATTGTAAATCAATAATACTCAGTACAAAAAAATAAAGCTGGGAAAAAAGACCTTTTCTGTTGATATTATCCTTTTGTTAGGGTGCCCATTTTTTTTATGGACTATGTTGGTTTCCATTACAGAATTTGAACATCTGCTTTTGGTACTTTAAATCAGGAGGCTTATTTTTATGACAATAACACGTCTATGTGAAACCCTCTCTCTGTTTTTTCTTTCGGTATCTAAAAGCATCTGAGTCAGGATCTGGAAGATTCATCCTGTTCTTCCACACAAGGAAAGTTTAACCGAGAGCAGTTTTACAAGTTTATCATTTTTCCTGGCAAGTGGATTAAAGTCTGGTATGATCGCCTTACCTTGCTGGCATTACTTGATAGGTAAGCCTCCAGGCATGCACACGTGCTGGTGAAAGACACAAGTGGGGCTTGGCAGTGTGCGCTTGCTTGCTGATAATAAGCAGTTTGGCCTCAGGCTGAAATTCTCTGGGGCTTTTCCAAGGTGTCCACTTTGTGTGCTCAAACCCACAGTTGAAGCAGTGAGACCCTGACAAATGAAGGAGTTGTCACTGAGTGGCTAAAAAGGGAACTAGGAGAATTTGGTAGCATGGTTTAGTTTCAAGGTTTGGGGACAGTATTATACTGTGGTCTGCTCATCTTCTGCCAGCTGTTGTAGGAGAGCCTGCAGCTGCAGTGTTGGAAGCAGAGCTTGGGTGCGTGGATGTGGTGTGGGGAGGGGAGGAGGGACATGGTGGGGGTAAGGAGTGATGTCTTGCCCTTTCCTTTCAGGACTTGGGTTCTAAATATTCTATCCTATACTTACTTTGGATGCTAACTTTTCCTTTAAACCTTAATACTCTTTCTCACCACTGTTTCTCAAGATGCGATGCTGTGGGGTTGGAGCTGAGGGTACTGCGTGGGGAGGTGGAGGTGGGTGGCAGGCATCAGGTCAACTAAGGCATGATGGTGTTGGGGGCCAGATAGGGGACTTCTCATTTCCCTTCCCCTCCTCGGGATATGCAGAAGACTAGATTGTGATCTTTTTTTAAATCATGTTTTTATTAAAATTTAAAATGTTACTCTGCAAAAAGACAGTATAAAAGAATGAAAAGACAAGTCACTGACAGAAAAAATTATTTATGAGACTTCCCTGGGGGTCCATTGGTTAAGACTTCACCTTGTAATGCGGGGGGTGCAGGTTTGACCCCTGGTTGGGCAGCTAAGATCCTATACCTTGTGGCCAAAAACCAAAACATACAACAACAAAAAAACCATAGAAGCAATCTTGTAACAGATTCAATAAAGACTTAAAAAAATTAAAAACTTATGAAACACACATCAGATATATATCCAAGATATACAAAGACTACTTAAAGTTCAGTAATAAGAAAACAACCTAATTTTAAAATATGGGCTAAAGATCTGAAGAGAACCCTCATCTACAAAGACATACGAAAGGCAAACAAGTACATTAAAATAGGCTTATCATTTTATATCACTAGAGATTTGCAAATTTAAGCAATGATGAGATACCACTATATACTATGACAATGTTTAATGAAGCAAAACTGACAGTAGCAAATGCTGGAAAGAATGTGGAACAAAAAAACTCTTTTCTCATTGCTGGTGGAAAAACAGAATGGTACAGCTAATTTGAAAGACAGGATGGCAGTTTTCTAAAGTAAACAGTTTTACTTCACTCTGTATAATGGGCTCCAGTTTCATCCATCTCATTAGAACTGATTCAAATGAATTCTTTTTAATGGCTGAGTAATATTCCATGGTNATCCTTCATATCCTGGAACACAATGGCACTTTAAGACAGATTCTAGGGACCACAAGGTCAGCACTAATTTCATTATGATATTAAGAAGTCATGGCTGATTCATGTCAATGTATGGCAAAAACCACTACAATATTGTAAAGAAATTAGCCTCCAACTAATAAAAATAAATGGAAAAAAATAAATAAAGTAAACAGTTTTGCCATATAATTCATCAGTTGTACTCCTAGGTAACTACTTAACTGATTTAAAAACATCCACACAAATACTGCATATGAATGTTTTTATTTTTTTATGAATGTTTTTAATATCTGAATTTATAATCATTAAAAACTAAAAGGAACCAGGATGTACATCAGTATATGAGTAGATAAATTGTGGGGTCTTCCCTGGTGGCTTAGTGGTTAAGAATCCTCCTGCCAATACAGGAGACGTGGTTGGGAAGATCCCCTTGAGAAGGAAAAAGCAACCCACTCTAGTATTCTTGTCTGGGAAATCCCATGAACAGAGGAGCCTGGTGGGCTACAGTCCATGGGGTTGCAAGAGAGTAGGATACGACTTGACAACTAAACAACAACCACAATGAGTTGTGATATTCACAGGTTGTGGGTTTGGAGATTCAGATGCTATTACTAATGTTGTCATCAGAAAACACAGGAGTTTCACAGTTAAATGCCAGTCAGTGGGGTAGTGGTAAGGCTGGTTGCCTGCCTGGATGTTGTGGGTCTCCCAGTGACTACTTGTTATCATAATGTCTTAAATGGTGTGATCACATACTGAAAAACTATAGTCATGCAAAGTTACAACAGTAAATTTCAGGACCCACAAGTCAGGGAAGGGAGTTGTAATGGTTTTTCTAACAACACTATGTTACCCCAGGGGCACACACTTAAACGAAGACTTCATACTTAACTAAAATAATTCAAGATAATACAGTCTGTTAGATGAGAAGTGTTTTTGAAATATTCATTTAAAAAGAAATTATTGAAAGTTGAACTAGCATGCCTTAACCCTTCGTATTAAATACAAATATTTCTATGGACTTCTGGGTTTTTTTATTTTAAAATCTACTCACTGATGAAAATTAGCTGAGAATCCAGTGAAGATATAAAAAAGGATGATGAGGAAGATGATTATCATCTTGTGAAGGTTATAGTGTAAAATCATTTTAATCACCTCTCTTGCAAGTTACATGCTAAGTTGTGTCTGACTCTTTGCAACCTCATGGACTGTAGCCCGCCAGGCTCCTCTGTCCATGGGATTCTCCAGGCAGGAATACTGGAGTGGGTTGCCATGCCCTCCTCCAGGGGATCTTCCTGACCCAGGGATGGAACCTGTGCTTTGGCAGGTGGGTCCTTTACCACTGCCCTCAGTCTCCTGTTAAATGGAGGTGATCTATTGGGTTGGCCAAAAAGTCCATAAGATGTTATGGAAAAACCCCTTTGGGGTTTACTCCCTTCTCTTGTTTCCCAGGCTCAGCCCTCTCTTGGTTTTCCTTCTGCCCTGTTGGTGGCTCCTTCCTGGTCCCCTTGGCAGGTGACCTCTTTGTGTTGGTGTCCCAGGAGCTGCTCAGCCCTTGGTCTTTCTCTTTCTGCCCACTTTTCTTTAGTGATCAGATTTAGTCTCATGGCTTTAAATCCCAGTAATCTGCCAGTGACCCTCAATTTCTGTCTCCACCCTGAACCTGTTGCCTGGTTCTTTACTTGTGTATCTAACTATGGGGTTGACATCTCATAATCAGAGTTGAAACTGAGCTCTTCATTTCTATCTCATCCCAGGTCTGCTCCACCTGTGGTCTCCCCCACCTCAGCTTTTCGTTTAAAATCTTGGCATAATTCTTAAATCTTTGCTTTCACTCCCATGTTCAATTTCTCATAGATTCTGTTTGCTGCTCCTTCAAATGTATCTACTGTGGCTTCCGCCTTTAATGTTGCCACCTTTGTTTGAGCTGCTGTCCTCTCCCATCTGGGTTACTGTAAGAGCATCAACTGCTCACACCCATTCTCCCTGGACACTATCCTTTTTCAAAATTGCATTGAAGTAATAGTTGATTTACAGTGTTGCATTAATTTCTGCTGTAAGGCAAAGTGTTTCAGTTATCCATATATATTCTTTTCCATTATGGTTTATCACAAGGTATTGACCAGAGTTGCCTGTGCTGAACAGTGGGACCTTGTTGTCTGTCACTCCTGTATAAAATAGCTTGCGTCTAATCGCAACCTCCCGATCCATCCCTCCCCCACCCCACTCTCCCTTGGCAACCGCAGGTCTGGTTTCTGTGTATGAGTCTGTTTCTCTTTTGTAGATGAGTTCATTTGTGCTGTATTTTAGATTTCTAATATGTGATATGATATAATAATTATCTCTCTGTCAGACTTACTGCACATAGTATGATAATCTCTTGGTCCATTATGTTGATGCAAATGGCATTATTTGTTCTTTTTTATGGTTGAGTAGTATTCCATCATATATATATATACACACACCACATCTTCTTTATCCTTTCATCTGTCAGTGGACACTTAGACTGCTTCCATGTCCTGTCTGTTGTAAATAGTGCTGCTGTGAGCACTGGGGTGCATGTATCTTTCTGAATTATGGTTTTCTCTGGATATATGCCCAGGAAAGGGATTGCAGGACCGTATGGTAGCTCTGTCTTCAGTTTTTTAAGGAACCTCCATACTGTTCTCTGTAGTGGCTGCACCAGTTTACATTTCCCCCAGTACCCCCTGCATACTATTCTTAGCACAACAGAGTGTTGGTCGCCTCTTGGTCTTCCTGTTGGTCACCACACCAGGCCCTCTTCCAGCCTGAAGACCTTTGCGCTGGCTGTTCCCTTCTGTCAGACTTACTGCACATAGTATGATAATCTCTTGGTCCATTATGTTGATGCAAATGGCATTATTTGTTCTTTTTTATGGTTGAGTAGTATTCCATCATATATATATATACACACACCACATCTTCTTTATCCTTTCATCTGTCAGTGGACACTTAGACTGCTTCCATGTCCTGTCTGTTGTAAATAGTGCTGCTGTGAGCACTGGGGTGCATGTATCTTTCTGAATTATGGTTTTCTCTGGATATATGCCCAGGAAAGGGATTGCAGGACCGTATGGTAGCTCTGTCTTCAGTTTTTTAAGGAACCTCCATACTGTTCTCTGTAGTGGCTGCACCAGTTTACATTTCCCCCAGTACCCCCTGCATACTATTCTTAGCACAACAGAGTGTTGGTCGCCTCTTGGTCTTCCTGTTGGTCACCACACCAGGCCCTCTTCCAGCCTGAAGACCTTTGCGCTGACTGTTCCCTCCACCTGGTGCGCGCTTCCCTCTGATGACTGCCCGGCTGACCCTTTTGTCTCTCAAATGCTTTTTCTTAGAGAGAGTTAGCCTGACCTTCCTGTTTAAAGCCCAGCAGGTCTCTGTCCACACACTCACAACTCCTCTCAGCTTGTTCTTTTCATTTTTCTGTTGCACTAATCCTCTTCCAATAGTCTATCATGTTCTTATTCTGTGTATGTTACTTATTTTATGTCACTGCCCACTGAAAGGAGGCTTCATGAGTTTCATTCACTGATGTATTCCCAGCACTTATGTTACATGAACAAATGCATCAGCTTCCCTTAGCACACTCCTTCCCAGTTTCTGCCATTATGAGCCTTTTCCCCCAGATTGAAAGCTGAAAGTCATCTTTATTTTTTCACTCTTTTATGGCCCATAATCCATTCAATCACAGAGTCTTTTCTGCCCTGTTCTAGTCTGTGTCTGAAAGTCACATGTCCCCTCTAACTTTACAGCTGTGTCACTTTCCCATGCTCTGGTTACTTCTCTCTGGGAGTGCTGTTTATCCTTTCCCTTCAGTGCGTCTTGTTAACCTCTGCAAGATAAATCTTTATAAAGTATGGCCTTAATCATGACACCCCTTGCCCAGTGAGCAAACTTCTTCACCCAATATTTATGAGGAACCGTGGGAGGGGAGTGATGGTGGGGAGGCAGAGGAGTGGCGTCCTGGTGGAGGAGGACCTGGGAAAAACTACTTTTTAAGAACTTCATTTTTTCTCTCCAAATAGTAAAAGTGTGTTTTTTTTAGTTGAAATCTTTGTTTTATTTCCTAAGACTTATTTATTTCCTAAGACTTATTCCTAAGACTTTAGATAGTCTTAGATAGATACCTCAAAATGTTATGAGCAAGCTAAAGAATACATAATGTATTTTATAGACCTGAACTGGATAAACAAATATTTTTAGCTCTATAAAAAGTACATAGTAGAGAATAAAAAATACATAAATTTCACTTTTCACCAAATACCTATTGTCCCTCCCCCAGTTTTTAAAAAAGTTTTCAACATGAGCATCTTAATATTTGAGTTCTTTACATTTCTGTACTTCTGTACCTCTTGGTTGCCTGATTAAAAAATGGGGAAAGATTATGAACAGATTCCTCACCAAAGAAGATATACAGATGGCAAATAAATGTGTGAGAAGATGCTCCACATTGTGTATCATTAGGACATTGTGAGTTAAAACAATGACAAGATGCCACCACACACCTATTAGAAAGTGAATGTCACTGAGTCATGTCTGACTCTTTGCAACCCCATGGACTAGGCCAGAATTCTGGAGTGGGTAGCCTTTCCCTTCTCCAAGGGAATCTTCCCAACCCCAGGATCGAACCCATGTCTCCTGCATTGCAGGCAGATTCTTTACCAGCTGAACCATAAGGGAAGCCCAAGAATACTGGAGTGGGCAGCCTATCCCTTCTCCAGCGGATCTTCTGACCCAGGAATTGAACCGGGATCTCCTGCGTTGCAGGCGAATTCTTTACCAACTGAGCTATCAGAGAAGCCCCCTCTCAGAAAGGCCCAATCCAAAACATTGATACTAGCAAATGCCAGCAAGAGTGTGGGGCAGCAGGGCTCTCGTGTCATTGCTGGTGGGATTACAAAGTGGTACGGCCGCTTTGGAAGACAGCTCGGTGTTTTCTTACAAATTAAACACATGAGTACAGTTTGACCTACCAGTCATGCTCCTTACTTCCACACAAAAACCTGCATTTATAGATGCTTTATTCATAATTGCCAAAACTTGGAAGTAACTGTCTTTTGATAGGTGATGGATAAACAAATTGTGGTCTGTCGGTGTTGTTGAGCAGTAGAAAGAAAAGAGCTGTCAAGCCATGCAGAGACATATAGAGGACCTTTAGTGTGTATTACTAAGTGGAAGAAGCTAACCTGAAAAGGCTGCATACTGTATGATTTCACTGTGGAATCTGGACAAGGCGGGACTATGGAGCCAGTAAAAGGATGAGTGGTTACCAGGCGTTAGAGAGGACGGGCGAATAGGCAGAGCACAGAGGATTTTTCGGGCAGTGAAAATACTCTGCATAATACAGTAATGGTGGATATGTATCGTTACAGCATTGCCTAAACCCATAGAATGCACATCACCAAGAAGGAACCATAATGTAGACTATGGACTTGAGTTGGTAATGATTTGTCAGTGTTACTTCATCAGTTAAAATACATGTAGCACTCTACTGGGAGATGCTGATGGTGGGGGAAGGTGGGTGTATATTTGGAGGGAGGAGCTATGTAGGAACTCTTTACACTTTCTCCTCAATTTTGTTGTGAATCTAAAACTGCTCTAGGGACTTCCATAGTGGTTCCGTGATTAAGATTTCACCTTCAAAGGCAGGGAGTGGGGATTTGATTTTTGATTGAGGAGCTAAGATCCTACATACCTCATGGCCAAAAAACCCAAAACATAAACAACAGAAGCAATAGTGTAACAAATTCAATAAAGATTTAAAAAATGGTTCACATAAAAAAAATCTTAAAAAAATAAAGCTGCTTTAAAAATAAAATCCATTAATTAAAGAAAAACATTCTGGAGTGCCTGAGCATGCCAAGGATGAAGTAGCCAACTGTTCCTGTCTAAAAATGGTCATAATTTAATGGGAAAGACCAATAGGTACATGGACAAAAATAGGCAATGTAAGATAGCTCAGCTGGTAAAGAATCCGCCTGCAATGCAGGAGATCCCGGTTCAATTCCTGGGTTGGGAAGATCTGCTGGAGAAGGAATAGGCTACCCACTCCAGCATTCTTGGGCTTCCCTTGTGGCTCAGCTGGTAAAGAATCCACCTGCAATGCGGGAGACCTGGGTTCAGTCCCTGAGTTGGAAAGATCTCCTGGAGAAGGGAAAGGCTACCGACTCCAGTATTCTTGCCTGGAGAATTCCATGGGTGGAGGAGCCTGGTAGGCTACAGTCCAGGGGGTCACAAAGAGTCAGACACAACTGAGCGACTTCACTTCACTTCACTCAGAATTCTAGTGATTAGTCCATCTAAACTCTTGACCTTGGGGTCCACACTGTTCTCCCTTAACTTCAACTGTTCCCTCTTGAAACTCCACCCTGCATCTCATCCTCTCATAGAAGCCTTCCACCTCTGAGGTCATAGTCCCAGCCTCAGTTCATTCTTCACATCCCCTCTGCATGCATGCATGCTAGATGTCTTCAGTCCTGTCCAACTCTTTGCGACCCTGTGGACCATAACCCTTCAGGCTCCTCTGTCCTTGGGATTCTCCAGGCAAGAATACTGGAGTGGGTTGCCATTTCCTTCTCCAGGGGCTCTTCCTGACCCAGTGATTGAACCTGGGTCTCCCGCACTGCAGGCAGACTCTTTGCCATCTGAGTCACCAGGGAATTTGCTTTCTCTCTACCCCCATCCAGTGTCTCCACATCCCCTCTTGCACTTTGATGGATCCACTTCCTCCCACTAGCAGCCCTCGCCTCCCCCGTGATCCTGCCTTCAGCCCCTTTATATCAGCATCTTGGCATCCCTATCTTGTCCCTTTGCACACCCGCTGATAACACCCGATGTCTGGATGAGCTCCTCTCTCTGCCCTACACGTCTCACGTGGCATCTCTGGAGAGATCACCCAGTGACACATGGGTCAGACCCGCTGCACTGACAGCTTCCTGGCCGGAGCTTTCCTGGCCTCTGAAACGGAGCAGCCAATTCTGGCCACTGTGCCTATATGTGGAAGGGATTGTCTGCTTTAGTCACGTGTAGTGTACCCCCTTCCTCCACTTAAAGAAGTCAGTGAAGCTTCTTTTCTGAAACACATTTCACTGTGGTGGATGGAATGGTTAACAGTCTTCTCCCAGTAAACCTGGTTTAATGGCCAGGGACACCCAAAGGGATTATATTTCACTTGTTTCAATAACAGAAAGTGGGGGTTAAATATGGCTTTAAAAAAAAATGTAGAATGCAGTAATAAGGCAAGAAAGAAAGAAACTGTAGAATCTTGTTACCCAACATTAAAGCTTGGGATAAGTACTCTCTGCTGACAGTCATTTTAGAAGCACGCAGGTATTCTCCGGGTAAAAACAGACAACCTTACCTTTTATTCCCTTTGTTTTTTTTTAAATTATGAAATGAGTTCTTTAGGCATGACGTGAGGAGAGTGCTGGCTGAGGAGAGCGCCGGCTCTCTAGGCGTGACGTGAGGAGAGTGCTGGCTGAGGAGAGCGCCAGCTCTCTAGGCCTGACGTGAGGAGAGTGCCGCTCTCTAGGCGTGACGTGAGGGGAGTGCAGGCTCTCTAGGCCTGACTTGAGGCGAGTGCCGGCTCTCTAGGCGTGAGGTGAGGGGAGTGCTGGCTGAGGAGAGCGCCGGCTCTCTAGGCCTGACGTGAGGAGAGTGCAGCTCTCTAGGCGTGATGTGAGGAGAGTGCAGGCTCTCTAGGCGTGACGTCAGGAGAGTGCCGCTCTCTAGGCTTGAGGTGTGGGCAGCGCCGGCTCTCTAGGCGTGACGTGAGGAGAGCGCCGGCTCTCTAGGAGTGATGTGAGGGCTTAGCTGCCCCGCAGCATGTGGGAGTCTCAGTTCCTGACCAGAGATAGAACGAAGGTCCCCTGGGAATATTTTTTTTAAGAATTATTTATTCGGGGGGATTTCTCTAAGTTTTTTATTGTCTGTGTTGGGTCTTCTTTACTGTATGAGGGCTTCCTCTAGCTGTAGTGAGTGGTGGCTACTCTAGTTACAGTGACCCGGCCTCTCATTGCATGGCTTCTCTTGTGGAGCATGGGCTCTAGGCACGCGCTTCTGTAGTTGCAGCACGTGGGCTCAGCAGTTGTGTGCAGGGTACTTGCTCTGAGATATGTGGGATCTTCCCAGACCAGGGATCGAACCTGTGTCCCCGTCATTGGCAGGCAGATTCTCACCCACTGGACCACCAGGGAAGCCGGCAAAGTGGATTCTTACCCACCGGAACGCCTGGGAAGTCCCTGCCCACAGGGCTTTAACTTACGGAGGTGACTGAGGAACAGGGAGAAGAGGGTGATGCCGTGTCACCCAGGGCCACAGGCGGAAGCAGCAGCTCCAGTCGGAAGGCAGGGGCTGGCGTGGGGGAGAGGGGGGCAGAGCTTGCATTGTGAAGGCAGGGAGACAGGAGGCACGGACCGGTTTGAACAGTGTCGGGGCCTGGGCCTGGGCCTGGGCTGCAGGCTGGTTGTCGGCTGTCTGGTACTGGCCCTGGGTGACTCGGGCAGGGGAATCTTGCCTCCCAGCAGGTAAGAGCTGTTGAAGGAGGTGGCTCCAAGTGTGGCTGCTGGGTTGGTTGGTTTTCCTGTGAAAGTCATGGTTCTTGTTGGGTACTTGATGCTGTCTCTGAGAATTGCTTGCCAAGGGAATGGATACATGTATGTGCATGGCTGAGTCCTTTTGCTGTTCATCTGAAACTATCACAACATTGTTAATCGGCTATATCCCAATACCAAAAAAGAACAAAAAGCTTTAACAAAAATTCAGACCAAAAAAAAAAAAAAATAGAATTTGCTGCCAAGGGAGGGCTCTTCCCTGTCAGGGAGGCTACCAAAATGTCAAAGTGTCACAAAATACGAAAAATATGATTAAACAAGCTCATTGTAGCATTCTGGCTACAGCCTCTGTTAGAGGTTTTTACTTTCAAAATGAGTATTTCTCTGCAGGAGGTGAGCCTGGGGCCACCCCCCTCTGTGGGTGCAGACCCACTGCTGCAGTTGGGGAGCAAAGAGACAGCTCTTCAGAGCAGGGTGCTCCTGGGCAGATGACAGTCCTCGGGTAGAAAGATCGGGCCTGATAACAGTAGAATACACCGAGGAAGGTGGCCTGGCTCATGAGGCTGACTTGGCATCTGTGGCCCTTACGGGCAGAAATGGAGTTTGCAACATGGATTACCTCTAACTTTTTACCTCTGGGAATCTTTTTAAAACCTTGCAGGTGGACCTTCATTGTTTAATATGCTCCTGTAATGTGAATAGTTTGATTGAGTTTCCCACTGGCTTATCTTCTTTCATACTGCTGACCCCACCCCTGTCCCATCCACACAATTTCCCTCTGAACTCTGGGGAAAAAAACTTAGCAGGTCAGAGAGTTCTATTTGTATATTGCTTTTTTCAGCTAGCAGAGGATGGTGTCATTATAGCATCTCAGTGTGATTGTTTTGGAATGATTTTATAGTTAAGAATTTGATATGTTATTTTTTTTTCTATTTAATCAGAAGGGCAGGTTTGAACATAAGTCAACAGATATAAACTTAAAAATCATGCTTTTTCCTGTTTAGAGATTGGCAGTGTGTTTTCACATTCATAAAATGTAGATGATTCCTCAGGCTTTCCTTTTATTTCCTAAGTTCAAATCAGAATTCAAGGTGTAATAACAATATTTGACACTTCTTATTGCTTAGCGAGACCAGACTTCAGTGTTGTGATGTTTACTTCATGTATTCTTGTGCTATTTACTTTCTTTCACTGGAAATGTATATCTAACATGTGGTATTTGTTGTAAATAAAAGCGTTGTAAATGTCCTTTAAAAAAAATAAAATAAAATTATGAAATGTGATAACACATTTACAGGAGACTAGGAAAATACAGAACATTTTTATATATAGTTCTACTATATATTGCTATTATTTTTTAAGTAATAAATTAAGATTTTTAGATGGAGTTTCAATATTGCTTTTACTTGTTTATTTTGCTCAGAACTGAAGATGTCAAAGAAAATGTGCTGGCGGTTTTACTCATTATCCTGGTCTCCCTGCTCGGATTTCTGACATTGAACCAAGGCTTTTGCAAAGACATGTGGGTGCTCCTCTTCTGCCTCGTCATGGCCAGCTGCCAGTATTCCCTGTTAAAGGCAAGACCACATCTAATTCTTACCATCATTAATGTAGCCTTGAAATCATGAGATGATGACCCAGACACTTCTGATTTGTGTTCTAGAGTGTTCAGCCTGACCCCGCCTCGCCAATCCACGTAAGTGTCCACTGACAGGCTTGTCTGGTCTGCTTGCATTGAAGATGGGGAATGGCCAAAAGCAGTTCAAATGTATGCAGCAATATGCATATATATTGAATGTCAAATGGAAGTACTAATGCATGGTGGTCAGGTTCAGGGGAGATCTGAGGCTGTGATGGGAATGGTGGTGGGGAGGGGCCAGGCTGGGGACCATCCTGTGTGGAGGGCCTTTTGCATCTCACTGAACTCATCTCAGGAAAGGCGTGGCAGCCAGTGGGGAAGTCGGCAGAGTCTGCAGTCAGGCTGCCTGTGTTGGTTTCCTGGTTCCTGTGTCTGAAGGTTGGACCCTGAATGGAAAGTGAGCTCTCCATGCCTCAGTTTCCCTGTGTGTGAATAAGGATAGTAAAAATGCCTATGGAGGTTAAAATAATCCATGTCACGGGCTTACAACAGTGCCTGGTATATAGAAATTGCTTCATAGATGGTAGCTGTTATTGGAAACACTGGTTATGTAAGCACGGATCATTATTCTTTTTACATGAAGCAGATCTCTTCCTATCCCACACTTTCAAGTGTATCATTACCTTTTATCTCATTTGGGGGGCTCACTTATACCTGAAACTCTGGCCTCCCCAGTACTGATCTCTTGGTGCTCCAACATCCCTCCCCTGAGCTCAGAAGCACAGGTAGCATCCACTGACCAGGGCGCTCCCTCCCCTGTGGGGTGATGGGTCCAGGTCTGGCACTGTCCCTACGGGGACCCCAGCCACATGCCTTTGCACCGAAACCACTGCTTGGTGGATGTCCCAGCTCTTTGAGAAACCTTCCTTCCTCTGCTATGGTAAACTGCTGAGAGTCCCTGAAAATCCTATCTGATGAAAGAAAACTTGACTTTCCCGCTAGTATGCTTTTAAAAAGAAATTCACATCCAGGATTTAGGAGTGCTCTCAAGTCTGTGATAGCTCATATTTGGCTCATAGTAATTAAGAAAAGCTTATAATTGGCTGCTCACCTGGCTTACATTGCTATCTTGTTAAATTCCTCTGTTCCCCATAATTGGTTTACATGGAATACATCTTCTTTTGTCCCAGCGTCTGAATGTCAAGATAAGGAAAAACAGCATAATTAGGGTATCACAGATGTATTGTTGTGATTATTGTCAAGAATCTGGATTAGGTGGTGTGAGCAGAGATGCTCAGCCCTGTGATGTTCTGTCCCAGCCCACCCCAGATGCGACACTGCCATCCTCCTGATGCTGTAAATAAGGCCCGCTTCCTAGTGACAGCGCTTGGGTCTTTCTGGGTGACCCGGGGGAGGGGTGTAATAGGCTATTAAACATTCATTTCCCGCATGTGCTCTCACGGATGATGCTACCAGAGGTGAGTGGTGAGAACAGCTGTTATCATCCCTGTGGATTTGTAATGACTGTCTGTAGGACCCCTGGGTCACGGTTCTAAGTTGGAGTTGTAGTGTCTACATTGATCCAGTTCCTCGAGGGCTATACCCCGCTGTTCTTCCTTTATCTGAGCAAGCATGCCACAGTGAGATAGGAAGCACTGACTCCCCTTACTATCACTGGAAGCCACAGTCAGACATCAAAGTCTGTTCATTGTAGTAATTAATATGCTTACACAGATTGCTAAGTAGATTAGTCCTGATTTGAGTTAGCATTTCTAACTATGACGGTGAGGAAAGAAAACATGGTAGGTATAAAATATTTCCTCTTGTAATGTGTCTCAGCCATGTAGATGTTTAGAAGACTGCCTTACTGTTTAGAGATGAGAAAACCTCAGACAGCTCAGTCCAGTCTGGTAGAGAGATGGTTCCGTGCCTGCCCCCAGCCCTGGCTAAGATTCATTTATCAGTGGCTGCCAGATAAAACAAAGTGCAAAAAAAAAAAAAAAAATTTTTGTTTTGGACTGGAGTACAGATGATTAACAGTGCTGTGATGGTTTCAGGTGGACACTAAAGGGACTCAGCCATGCATATCCATGTGTCCATTCTCCCCCAAACGCCCCACCATCCAGTTGCCACCGAAGTGCTGTTCAAGACCATAGCACTTTGTTCGTTCCCAGGGAGTGGCTGTTCAAAACTGCAGTCAATTCTTGTTCTTCGACTGATGGATTTTTCTGCTTTGTTTCCTTCCGGGAGCGCAGAGGTGGCAAACTTTGAGCAAGTTGTTAAAACCAGAAGATAGCATAATGATTTTTTTTTTTTTGGCATAACACTGTGTGTTTCAGATAGAGTTGCAGAATTAATACTGGCATGCTAGTAGATATGGTACCATCAACCCTGGGCTTGGAAAAAAAAATGCTTCTGATTGTAAAAGAAAACAGGTCTAGGAGAGCTTAAAAACTGAGATGAGAGTAGCTCCTGGAATCAGTTGGAGGATCAGAGACTGGTAATTTAGTGATGGGTGATGAAGCTGTTCCTTAACTTACACAGACTTGTAGATTTGTCTAACCAACAGTGGGTTTCCTGGGTGGCTCTAGGGGTAAAGAACCTGTCTGCCAATCCAGGAGACATAAGAGATGTGGGTTCGATCCCTGGGTCGGGAAGATCCCCTGGAAAAGGAAATGGCTACCCGCTACAGTATTCTTACCTGGAGAATCCCATGGACAGAGGAGCCTGGTGGGCTACCATCCATAGGTTTGTAAAGAGTCACACCCGACTGAAACGACTTAGCACACATGCATAACCAACAATATCCACTAATGATAACCCAGGAAGCAAAATCTAGTGCGATATCAGAGAGGCAGCTAAAGACTGGGATCCCCAGCATGGAGCTGGAGTAAGGGGCCTTTCCCCGCACCTGCTGGGACCCTGCGTGGGGGTGGCTGGGACAGCACCCGGGAATCTGCATTCTAACATCACCCAGGCGCTGGTGGAGGAAGTGACCTCAGGTCACACCTGAGAAACACAGGTGATGGGGAGCGTGCAGGTTTGCGGACTTGAATTCAGCCTCCCCCTGTGCACAGTATGGCCTCTTGGTCAAGTGACTTCTCTGAATCTCAGGTTTTTTGTCTGTGAAAGAGGAAATATTAATATAGGATATTGTGAGGGAAGCAAGGTGATGCACATCCAGGGCTCAGCATAGAATCTGGCACTGCGGGAGCGCTTGACAAATGCTAACAATTTTTGTGTGAGTAAAGTAGGGGTCATAATAACAACCTCAGTTAGTGGTGGTAATGAGTGAGCTGGACAATGTATATAGTGTTCCTAGCACAGGACCTGGCATATTAAGTCCTCTGGAAATGATTCTTTTCCTTTCTCATTCTACTTTGCAGATACAGAAGACTAAGAATTTTCACAAGCCCCATACCTAGTTCCCTTATTATTAACCTCATACATCAAAACGTTTCATTTGACACAGGTAGACCCAGGTGGATACATCGTTATTAACTGAAGTTCATGTTTTACTTAGATTTCCATAGGTTTTTCCTATTATCTTTTTGTTTATTGGTTTGAGGATCGCATCCAGGACACCACATGGTGTTTAATTATCCTCTCTCCTAAAGCTCCTCTCTGCTGTGACAGTTTCTCAGGCGTTCCTTGCTTTTCTGATCTGGACAGCTTCAAGGAGCATTGGTCAGGAATTTTATAGACTGTTCCTCAGTTGAGATTTATTTGGTGCTCATCTGATGATTGGACTGGGGTTATGGATTTTGGGGAGGAAGACTGCAGAGTTTAAGTGTCATTTTCCCCACATCTTTTGAGGGTCTGTACCATCAACATGACTTACCACTTTTGATGTGGACCTTGATCACCTGGTAAAGGTGCTGTTTATCAGAGGAATGATTTTTTAAAATTTTATTAAAAATTTTTAAAAAGTTGCAGTAGAGTTGATTTGCAGTGTTGTATTAGTTTCTGGTGTCCAGCAAAGTGATTCACTTATACATATACATATATCTATTCTTTTTCAGTTTCTTTTCCATTATAGGCTATTACAAGATATGGAGTATAGTTCTCTGTGCTCTACAATAGGTGCCTGTTGGTTGTCTATTTTATATATAATAGTGCTGCTGCTGCTGCCGCCAAGTTGCTTCAATTGTGTTCGACTCTGTGCGACCCCATAGACGGTAGCCCACCAGGCTCCCCCGTCCCTGGGATTCTCCAGGCAAGAACACTGGAGTGGGTGGCCATTTTCTTCTCCAATGCATGAAAGTGAAAAGGGAAAGTGAAGTCTCTCAGTGGTGCCTGACTCTTAGCAACCCCATGGACTGCAGCCCACCAGGCTCCTCCATCCATGGGATTTTATCTGTTAATCCCAAACTCCTAATTTACCTCTCCCTCCCCCATCTTTCCCCCCTGGTAACCATAAATTTGTTTTCTATGTCTGTAAGTCTGTTTCTGTTGTGTAAAAAAGACTATTTGTATCATTTTTTAGGTTCCACATATATATAAGTGATAGAATACGATATTTGTCTGACTTACTTCACTTAGTATGACAGTGTCTAGGTCCATCCATTTTGCAGCAAATGACATTATTTCATTCTTTTTATGATTGAGTAATACCCCATTGGGTATATATGCCACCAAGTGTGGGCCATAGAATTCCTGTTGGCTAACATTTTACTAGGGTCAGCTTCCTTAGGACAGTTGGACACCCACCCCCAGATCATCTTCTTTTGCTCCACATAGAAATGGAACCAAAGAGTATAGGTAAAATTTTTCAGTATACATCTGGAAAAAAAAAACTAATTTGAAAGGATATATGCACCCAGTGTTCACAGTAGCACTATTCACAATAGCCAAGACATGGAGGCAACCCAAGTGCTTTCAGTAGAAGATTGGATTAAGAAGATGTGGTATATATAAACAATGGAATACCACTCAACCATAAAACAGAAAATGCCATTTGCAGCAGCGTGGACAGACCTAAATAATACTGGGTGCCTGCTAAGTTCCTGCAGTTGTTCCTACTGTTTGCAACCCCATGGACTATAGCCCACCAGACTCCTCTGTCCATGGGATTCTCTAGGCAAGAATACTGGAGTGGGTTGCCATGCCCTCCTCTAGGGGGTCTTCCTCACCCAGGGGTCAAACTCGTGTCTCTTACATCTCCTGCATTCGCAGGCGGGATCTTTACCACTAGCATCATCTGGGAAGTCAGATAATACTACATTTAGTGAAATAAGTCAAACTGTGAAAGACAAATACTATACAATAGCACTTATATGTGGAATCTAAAATTTAGTACAAATGAATCTATATACAAATCATAAACAGACTCACAGACATAGAAAGTATACTTCTGGTTACCAAAGGGAGAGAGAGAGGGGGGGATAAATTAAGAATTTAGGATTAATGGATACAAACTACTGTACATAAAATAGATAAGCAACAAGCATTTACTGTATAACACAGGGAACTATATTGAATATCTCATGTACCTATAATGGAATATAATCTTTGTTAATTAAAAACCCCAAAACAAATCACTGTGCTCTACATCTGAAACTAACACAATATTGTAGGTCAGCTCTATTTCAACTTTAAAAAATTTAAATGAAAACTTCAAGAGCTCTAAATAGACAGATGAAACAGTACTTAAGTGAAAGTGAAACAGTACTAATCAACAGCCACCAAAAAATTATATTTAAATAAACTATTCTGTGCCATCGTGTGTGTGTGTGCTAAGCTGCTTTAGTCTTTGTGACCCTATGGACTATAACCTGACAGGCTCCTCTGTCCACGGGATCCTCCAGTCAAGAGTGCTGGAGAGCGTTGCCAGGCCCTCCTCCAGGGGATCTTCCCAACCCAGGGACTGAACCTTCAGCTCCTTCATCACAGGCAGATTCTTTACTGTTGAGTCACCATGGAAACCCCTCTTACCATCATAAGAAACTATAAAAACAGCCAACCTTTATTATAGTGAACAGAGTTCTACATAGGTAGACATCATACTGCAGAGGGGCTAGACAGAGCAGGTAGTTATTTTTCTACACTTTCCAGGTAGGGGCCCTTTTCACCCTCCTGAGTCCTTTCAGGAAGAGTCAACACCTTCCAGGAAACGCTGTTACGAACGCTTTTCCCCACACTCTGTTTATTTCACATGGGTAACATTCACACTGTGTGTTTAAAGAATGATGCTTATGAATGAACTCGAGCCAAGTGAGGTTGAGTGTTGGGCCTGGAAGGATCCAGGGTCAAATACAGGGACCATCTGCGTTGGTCTGGTGAGCCAGTGGGTAGTGACCAGGCAGCCAGCTGGCCAGCAGCGGGGTTCAAATCCTGGTCAGCCACACTGTCTTCTGTCTGTGAAGTCTGGGGCAAATTTCTTTTTCATGCCTCAGTTTGCTCCTGGCAAAATGAGAATAATAGTAGGACTTCTTCAGGTGGATTAACTGTGTGGTTACCTTTCCCATAGGTAGGACAGGGCCTGAGGCACAGGGGAACAGGATAAATGTTAGCCATTGCTGTATATCAGCTTGTCAAAAACAGCTGCCCTATGAGTTCCACCAAACAGGAACGTGTGCAGACTCAGTGGGTGGGAGGCAACTGTTTCCTGCCCTCTGGGCTGAGAAGCAGAGATCTGCAGGAAGCCTTGAGCTGACATGGGTACCAGCGGAGATGGGATGGGGCTGGCATGGCCTGGCTGCTGACAGCCTCGGTAGAGTAATGAATGCTGTGTTCAAATACTCCATCCTCCTTATAACCAAATCCTTTCATCTTTTTCTGTCTATCACCTATCTCTCCACGTCACTATCCACCTATCATCTATCTTTCTATCTTCTACATCTATCCATCTATCTATCCATCATCTGTCATCTCTATCTCACTATCATTTATCTTCACCTACCTATCTGTCTATCTCTCCATCTCCCTATCTAGCTATCATCTATCTTTCTATCTTCTATATCTATCCATCCATCATCTATCTCCCTAGTCTCTGTCTCAATATGCTGAAGATAATGAAGAAGCTGAAGTTGAATGGTTCTATGAAGACCTACAAGACCTTCTGGAACTAACACCTAAAAAAGATGTCCTTTTCATTATAGGGGACTGTAATGCAAAAGTAGGAAGTCAAGAAACACCTGGAGTAACAGACAAATTTGGTCTTGGAGTACAGAATGAAGCAGTGCAAAGGCTAATAGAGTTTTGCCAAGAGGATGCACTGGTCATAGCAGACACCCTCTTCCAACAACACAAGAGAAGACTCTACACATGGACATCACCAGATGGTCAACACCAAAATCAGATTGATTATATTCTTTGCAGCCAAAGATGGAGAAGCTCTATACAGTCAGCAAAAA